AAACCAGCTGAACTACCCTCAGCACATGTTCTGTTTTCACTCGTGCCACTGCGAAACGAGAATCAATTCTTGCTTTTCACTGGGTGCTTCCCTGCCCAATGATTGCATCAAACTTGACATCGGTCATCTTCTTCAGAACATTCAGGGCACGTTCTGGAAACACTCTGAAAGAGGTAATAACATGAAATTAAATGTGGGATAAGAAAAACTTAAATGATAGGAAAAAGGGGTACTGCAGGTGAGGAAAGAGTGGTCTGGGAGCAGAATGTACAGACATGGACTAAGTCTTAAACTGGGCATTATTTCCAAAGCATATGTAGCCCTCATCAATCTCCAACTAGTTTTACCTCCAATCCCACCCATCTCCTTTTATGACAATTCTGGGGCAGGTATGCACTGGACATGATTTAGGTTGCAATATTGCTGCAGAATCCAGGAACTTTTCATATTGAACATAGACGTGCATTTTCTTTCTCTTTGCTTTCAAAATGTTACCTGGTTAATCTGGAAATTCTTGAAAGGAAAAAGAAACCAAACCCAAACATCTTTACACTTCCTCATAAAAAGAAATTTAGGGTTAGGCCCAAGTTTGCTGGCTTTTGCAAACAATAAATTACTAATAGTTTCATAAGATACTGTAGAAAATAACTGAAAACTAAATTTAGTTGTTCTGATGTTAATTCTAGGTTTGGAACCTGAGCTCTGATAACAACACCTCCTCAGCAGAGCGGCTACACTGGATATTAAAGATGTGTGAGAGGAAAAATCTTGCTTTACATAGCAGAGCTAAGAAGGGACTCATTTTAAAGCAATTTTCCAGCCTCCGTGGCCTCAATCTTTGGTGTTGATATGAAGAAACAAACACTAATAAGCAGCAGGTCCTCAGCTCTTTTTGGAACTGCACTGGGGGTGCTGTTTCAGAGAATGTGGTACTTCCAGGAGGGAAACAGCAATCTGTGAAGAAAAACTGTTCTCTTGTTCTCCCTCCCCTTTCTTACTGGTCTGTAGAGCAGTTGAGCTCTCCACTGAGAACAGTTATCTGCAGTAAGTGGATTAGAAGGACCTACGAGAGGGCTCAAGAAAATAACTGTGTATGACATCTGCTGTTGTCACTAGAAAGAACCACTGCATTATTAGTTACCTTGTGATGCGTTCTAAAATAACTGAATCAGATTTTACAAGTTTGAGGGTGGTGCACTCAGCAAGTTATAGTTGATACTTGTTGATACATTTTTTTTTTAATACTTACCTTTCAAGCAGTAAAGCAACACTCTGATTTGATGGAACAAAAACCATTTTCTGGTTGGTCACTATTCCTTCCATCAGAGCCTCTACAACCTCTTCAATCTCCAAAATCTTTCCAAGCCTGCAAAGGAAAGCACACACGTAAGAGCTGTGGTGGTAGAAAGGGGTGGTACAAGCTTCACAAGGATGCTTCACATATGCACAAACTCGAGTAATTCAAATGCA